GCGCATTGCGGTCCCGGCAATCGGCCGGTGGTCGGGAGAGGAAGCCATGCAAAGTCCTCAGACGTGAGCGGGTCCAATGCCTCTATGTTGAACTCGCGCGCCGAATCCCGTGAAGAACCACTTGAAGACGAACTGTCGCCGTTGCCACACTATTTGAAAAAAAAGGGGGGCAATCTTTAAATAGTGTGTGCGGGACCTTCATCAAGCTTGAGGGTCTGACAACAGAAATAGCATTCCTTATCCACTAGTACACAACATAGTAACAAGCGCCAGTAACCCAAGGCAAAAGAAAGTGTGTTTTCATGCAAATTTCGCTCTTTTCAGTTTTCAACTTTTCAGGATTTTCAGGATTTTCAGGATTTTGAATTTTCAGGATTTTCAGGATTTTCAGGATTTTCAGGATTTTCAGGATTTTCAGGATTTTCAGGGCTGGTCAAAACAGTCATCTCCAAGACTCCAACAAACACCAAACTCGCCACACGCAGACCTTGACCAACAAGAAAACAGGGCAAAAAAAAAAACAAAAAAAGAACTGTAAAGAAGCTAAAAAAACAATTATCCGCAAATGCACTTTTCACTGTTTTCAGTGCTGGGGGATTTAACCAGGGCTGAAAAGTGGGGGTCCCTGTTAACCGCTTGTGAGGTGACCGCTGATCCAGGCCTGCGACCCTTTCTTTTTTCTGGGTGCCTATTTCCCCCATGTGCTGCCATGCGTCACGCGGATCCTGTGCACTCGTGCGCCGTACGTGTGCAATTGCCCCCACGGCATGTGCTTGCATGTATGGACAGTAAACATAGAGGCAAGTGACAGTAACCAATGCTCACATGCTCACAAGAAATGTTAACTTCCATGTTTGCATCGTCAGCACAACCATAGTGACAAGCAACAATAACCATGGTTCATGACTTCACAACAAAGGTTAATTTGCAACCTCAGCATAAAGTACTGACAGGTGAGACTAGCCATGGTTAACAAGTAGGGTTGATTTCCAACCTCAACACGCTCTGTGTCCACAGCAGGACACCCTGCTGCCGCATTACTTCCTCCATCTCCACATGCCTTGCCCTTTGCATTCCTTGCTTCACCCTCCGGACTGCGATGAACGAGTAACATCCCCGCTGCCGCCTCTCGATTCCCACCGGGACTCTGAGAGTCATCTGGTGCTGGAGGCCTGAGTGTGACATTTTGTGACAGCTGCTCCGGTACGTGCTTGGTGAGACTTGTGGAGGAGCCATCCCTTGGATGTACTACTGAGATACATCAAAGTTAAGATCAAACAGATTTTTACCAATATATTAATGATTGAATCATATCTAGCATTGATTACAACAATTTTTACAACAAAGGCATTTGTAATTTTGTATTTGTTTTCTTTTCAAGTTTTCACTTTCACCCTCATAATTTTAACAACACAATATCTAGGCTACCAGCCGGGCCGCCCAGGTCACCCTATTTTCCCGGGCGGCCCGGCCGTGCAAGGACCAGGGAAGGTCCTAGCAAAAAAAAAAAAAAAAAAAAAAAACTATGTTATGCAGAAAAATAAACTGAACAACTTTTGCCTCAGGGTCACATCAAAATTCTTTACCAAATTTAAAATAAAAATGAAAAATGAAAAATTAGAAAAAATATATACATATTTTTTAAAGTTTTTTTTTTTCTTTTTTGGCCCGGCCGGGAAGGTGGTCCCTGGGCCACTCTGGTAGCCTAGCACAATATCATATTAATATGCCATTCGTCAAATTTAACATCTGTTAAAATTGGAACGATACAAAGAAGATTAGCATAGCCCCCACGCAGGATGACAAAGCATAAACTGAGAAATTGTCCCAATTACTTTATTTTTTAATTAAAAAAAAAAAAAAAAACTCAAACACAAATCAACAACAGCAATGAATTCGATACCACCTTCGGCTCATTATTTTTTTTATTAAAAAAAAGAAAGACTCAAACACAAATCAACAACAGCAACGAATTCGATACCACCTTCCGCTCACAACCGCTAACAATTCTGTTGTGTGTGTTGCTAGAGTGAGATTTTGGAGTGTGAATAGCTGTTGGTAACCTGAAGGCGAAAAAAAAAAACTAAGCCAAAAAAGTAATGTTAAGGTTGAGCCTCCCCACAATCAAAAGGGGGTACTAACACCCTCTTAAGGTTTTTTCAGGAATACTACCTTGTTCACCCGAATACAACGTACGGTCACTATTGCTGTATTTAGACTGAAAGATACCCCAAATACAGTTATAATGACCATACGTACGTTGTATTCGGGCAAAGAAGGTAGTGAACACTAGCAGATCATTGCTTTACCCAGCTCAATGGTCAGTAGCATTTCTAGAAAATGGCTAGAACGATGTTTGATGTTCAGCAGGAATGTAGTGGATGCCAAAGACTAGGCTGAGTAATGGCCTCGGTTCACGATGCATGATGATCTTTGTCTAATCTAAGACGTGGCCGCGACACGATAGCGAGGAGGGGAGGAGATTGCCCCCACTCTGATGAGGGAGGGCACATTATGACGATAGTAACTTGATTGTGGGGAAGCGTCTCAGTGGATAGTGCAACTTCCGTGTCACCCGTCGACCTATAAATGCCGTGGGTACTTTTTTTTGTTCGTTCGGGATTACTTGCATCTGTTGATTCCGTTCGCTGAATTCTTTGGGAGAGTGGCCACCTTCGTAGCAAAACACGGCGGGACAACTTTACCATCTATGTGTTTGTGTAAAAGATGGCCGGGAAACCCTGACCTTATCAATATTGAATTAAGTCGTTTGGCAGATACTTTGCTCGGACGTGAAATGGTCGTTGCCCACAGAGTGGACAACAACTGAAACCAGATATAGGCCGCTGCTTCGCACCTGCCTATGCTCCGATGCTCAGTAGAGTCGTGCATAGTCCATAGCTGGATCTTCGTGCAGCCATAGCTCAACACATAGCAGAGGGAATCTTCAGAGAGA